TAAATTCAGTTGCAAGATTTGTCCCACACATACTAACAATAGTGTGATGATAAATGTACAGTAATAATATACTGTTGTCCGAATAAAAGGCTTTTATTATTATTATTCTACAGGGTGTTAGGTAAATGGGTATATGAGCCGACACTAGCCCCATGTTAACATGGTCATATAAATGGTATGGTGAAGTCAGAAAATTGATATCTTCATTTTAATTATTTTAATTTTCATACAAATCGGATTTTATAACATTATTTTGTATGAAAATTAAAAAAATAAAATGATGATACCAAATTTCTGACTTCGCCATACCATTTATATGACCATGTTAACATGGGCTAGTGTCGGCTCATATACCCATTTACCTAACACCCTGTATATCTAAAAATATATAACTCAAAGGTGACTGACTAACTGACTGACATAGTGATCTATCGACGCACAGCCCAAACCACTGGACGGATCGGGCTGAAATTTGGCATGCAGGTAGATGTTATGACGTAGGCATCCGCTAAGAAAGGATTTACGAAACCACCCCTAAGCGGGTAAAACGGGATCCACGCGTACGAAGTCGCGGGCGGCCGCTAGTTGTGAAATAAACAGGATAAAATATCAATTAATTTATAATATTACAAATGAATTAATTACTTTATTAGTAGTTATTTAAGAAAGTTTTCCTTATTTACTTCTGTATGGAAAGAACAGCTTTTATCTATACCTACTGTTAATTATAGAGCTGAAGAGTTTGTTTACTTGAACGCGCTAACCTCAGGAACTACTGGTCTGATTTGAAAAATTCTTTTTGTGTTAGATAGCCCATTTATCGAGGAAGACTTCAACAAAATCCCATCTCTCCGCACTGCAATGCATGTCAGATACAAATGGCGGTGATCCTCAGCACGGCACGCATAGTAAAATGACTAAAGGAATAATAATAATAACACCTGCCGCATTACGCGTAAATTTTTATCCACAGATTCCACAGCTCTCATGGCCCGCGCCATAGGTCAAAACACCCGTCATTAAGATGGAGAAAGATAGAATCTTTGAAATAAAATAATAATAATTACAGAATGTCACAAGTAAAATAAAAAATTGGAAGGCGGTCGGGGTAGATGGTTTTCATTGCTTCTGGTTGAAAAAATTCTACATATTGCACGACACTTTAGGACGAGTAATAACTGACGTGGCCTCTCACTATAGGCCTTATACAGAAGCTCAAAGTTGCACAGCGTGCTATGGAGAGGGCTATGCTTAGTGTTTCTTTGCGAGATCGAATCAGAAATGAGGAAATCCGTAAACGAACTAAAGTCGCTGACATAGCCCGACGGATTAGCAAGCTGAAGTGGCAATGGGCAGGGCACATAGTACGCAGAACTGACGGCCGATGGGGGAGCAAGGTTCTGGAATGGAGGCCGCGTACCGGAAAACGTAGCGCGGGACGTCCACCTACAAGGTGGACCGATGACATCGTAAAGGTAGCAGGGAAGCGCTGGACGCAGGCCGCTACCAATCGATCAACGTGGAAAGCATTAGGGGAGGCCTATGTTCAGCAGTGGACGTCCTATGGCTGAAATGATGAATAACTGACGTTATACAAGGAAAAACTCAATTTCTAACAAAGGGTGTTACCTATATGTTACCTAAAAGTATCTACCCTGTATAGAACAGTTGTAATGTTCTTCTACTACCACTAATTTTAAAAGACAGATGACTTATAAGATCCGCCGCATCCTACCGATTATTTAAGATTTTGTTTATTTATGTCATCATCATCATCTCAGCCACAGGACGTCCACTGCTGAACATAGGGTTCGCCCATAATCATAATCATTTTTTGCAATTAAACATGGTATATAAAGATGTTAGGTACAGATAGTGAGAACTATACATGTTTATTTATTTATTTATTTTAGGAATTACAAACAAATGTGTTACAGAAATTAACTTATCTACTAGACTTATGTATTATTTATGTGGTAACACATCCCACTACGTAATCCACATATTGATANATAATCATTTATTTGCAATTAAACATGGTATAAAGATGTTAGGTACAGACAGTGAGAACTATACATGTTTAGCTAAAATTATTAGCATGCAAAAGTTAAATTAGAAACACCACAATATTAGCGACGATTCTAAAGATGAACAAAACTACAGCAAATCAAAGAACTCTTTTAAATCGTAAAGTGTCAGTGAAAGCAACCATTTACTCAAATGTTTCTTAAAATTACAAATGTTTAATGTCCTAAATTCTTTGGGTATTTTGTTATAGATTTTAATACACATGATCAAACAGCTATTTTTGTACTGCACTGTTTTTGGGGTGACCTGAAGTACCAACCTGTTTGCATCTCTACTATTTCTTGGATAGTAATCACATGCCCGTTTAAATAAGTGCTTATTCTGCATAACAAATACACATGTGTCAAATATGTAAAGAGAAGTCAGAGTTAGTAATTGCGTCTGACTAAATAGAGGACGGCAGGACGTACGCGGGGGAACACCATACATTGCTCTAAGGCATTTTTTTTGAGCAATAAATGCTCTATTGATATGAGGGCTATTGCCCCATATCAATAGTCCATACCGTAATAAAGACCCCACATAAGCATGGTAGGCCGTGATTGCCGTACCTAGATTAGTGACTGATCTGACACACTTTAGAGCATATACAAATGAATTGATACGGCTACAAATACTATCTATATGGTTTTTCCAATTAAGATCTTTGTCAATTATTATTCCCAAAAATTTAATTTGATCTACTTTATTAATGTCTATATCTTTATATTTAATGTCAAGATTAATATGTTTATATTTATTAAATTGTATATATTTTGTTTTAGTCAGATTAATTTTTAAACTATGCATGTCAAGAAATTTAATTATGTCATTAATAGTTGCATTTACGTCATTCTCATGTTCTGTCACTATGTTATTTGAGGTTACTGTAATAGATATGTCATCTGCAAATGCGATACATTGATGATGTCCAGTTGCATTAAAAATGTCATTGATGTATATAATAAATAAAATTGGCCCTAATACGCTACCTTGTGGTACACCACATTGGTTATATTTATATTGTGATGAGCACGATATTATCTCATTTTTATTGTTTAATGTATCTACAACTACACATTGTTTTCTATTACTAGTATATGACATTATCCATTTCAACACGAGTCCCCGTACACCAATCATATCAAGCCTTTGTGCTAGTAGTTGATGTGATACATGATCAAATGCCTTAGACAGATCAATAAATATACCAGTTGTCAATTTTTTTATTATTTATACCTGTTAAAACAGTTACCAAAAACCTATGTATGGCCAAAGTGTTGGATTTATTTTTTTGGAATCCGTATTGATCTTTATGTAATAAATTAAACCTGTTACAGTATTCAACCAGCTGTTTGTAGAAACACTTTTCAAATATCTTAGAAAAAACTGATATGATGGCAATAGGACGATAATTATCAATTTCATCCTCGTTACCTTTTTTATGCAAAGGTTTTACAGTAGTGAGTTTAAGTTGTTCTGGAAATACGCCAGAGGAAAAAGACAAGTTAATTAGGTGAGTTAGAACAGTAATAAGTTCACTCACACAATCCTTCAGAACTTTAGTACATATTTCATCAAATCCTTCTGCTTTTGTGTTTTTTAGAGACATTACTACTGTTTTTACTTCTGTCTCCACAACAGGCTTTAGAAACATAGAGCTTAATCTTAGTGTTTGGTTGGTTTTATTTATTTTAAATTTACTTTGGTCATAATTATTGGATTCATTTACAAATTGATCATTAAAGGCTGCAGCTATGCTATGGGGATTCGTCAGAGTCAAATTATTTACCTGTAGCCTTTTAATATGTTTAAGAGAATATTTTGTGTTATTTAATTCTTTTTTAATTAGGGTCCAAGATGCCTTACACTTATTTTCACTCTTATGCATAAAGTCAATGTTAGATATTCTTTTAGAGACATAGATACATTTTCTTAGAAGTTTTGAATAATTTGAATATTTGTTTATATGTTGTGTTTTATTGTTGTAATGGTTATATCGTAGTTTCCTTTTCTTTCTATCCAATGACTTCCCCATCGCACGGTTGGTGGCGGTCTGCATCCAGCGCCTTCCTGCTACCTTTATTAGGTCGTCGGTCCACATTGTGGGTGGACGTCCCACGCTTCATGTATCCTACTAATATTATAAATGCGAAAGTTTGGACGTCTGGATCAGGGATGTTGCATCCGCATCCGCATATGCGGAGCATCCGCATGGATTTGGACATCCGCATCCGCAATGATCAAATGCGGATTTTTATGCGGATACGGATGTAAGACAAGTTACCACAAGAAAGAAATTGGGCACGGTCGAAGAATGGCGCGTGCTGTTCGCATTGACATTAACCAATGTAAACGAAAAAAATTGGTGACAAGATCCAACGGTTTGTTGTGAACTATCATTTGTTTCTTATAAATAAATCATTTAACGTTTTTCGCCAGTGCCGGATTAAAACTAGTTGATGCCCTAAGCGATCCACACCACACCCCACCATGATAAATTACTAGGAAACGTAACTTATTTATTACACATTTAAATGCGACTTGTAAGTTTTACGTGTCTTGAATTCGCGAAAAATTCTTTTTGGGATCTTTTTGGGGCCCCCCAAGTCGTTGATGTCTTAAGCAATTGCTTAATTTGCTTAAGGGTTTATCCGGTACTAGTTTTCGCTATGGAATACAAGTATTGTATAGATAGATACTTTGAGTGTTATTTTGATACATTTACATTGTGTGTAAATAATCGTTTATTCTTTACTAAAGTGGAGGAGGCTCATAGTCCAGCAGCGGACTGTTGATGATGATGATGATGATGAATAATACAAAAGAGTAAGCAAAAGAACCTCCTCTATAGCCATAACACAATGTTGATAAGTCACACACTATATAAAGTAACTCAAAGTTATTAAAACCGACATTAATACTCGTGTTTTCCTGCATAGAGGAATCAATCCTTGCATCATGAAGACCGTATTATTGCTATTGTGTGCGCTCGCTAGTGTTTTCACGATGGAAATCCCGCATCGGCCGCAGCAAATCAGAAAAACCATCGAAAATAAGAACAACGATATCACAGACAGATTCAGAAACGAAGAAACGTTAACGATACAAACAGTGGAAGCACATAACGGAAATAAACAGGCGGTTGGTGAAAAGAAATTAACGAAACGTGACATCATCAGCCAATATTGCCCAACAGGCAAAATTGAAATCAATGGCATGTGTGTGACTCCTGATGAAAACATTTATATTGATGATGATGATGAATTTGATTCCTCAACAAACTCAAAACTCAATGTGGGAGAATCATTTAACGGACTTAAAAAGGCCATTGGTGAAAAAGAAAAAGAACTTACAAGAACGACACGAGGACTTGAGTTTAACTTTTCCAATTTAAAACGTTGCCCATATGGCTATGTCAGGGTCAATTTTAAATGTTTTCCAAAAGAAGATGTCAACTCAAAATTCATTGAGAATGAAATCAAAAACAATCGTATGCCCGGTTGCCCAGAAGGTCAATTTAATTACCAAAACATATGTATTGAAGACGAGTACATGTATGAATATTAAAAACTAATTTTGTTAATTAAGCTCACAGCATACTTATCAACGCGGAAAAAGGTCAACACCGTATCGCCTTTCGCGCGCTGACGACCGCGAGGCGAGGCGTTTATGTTACGGTGCCTTTCCGAGTTGATTAGACAATTGGTTAAAAATAGCTTATTACACATATACAGGGTGTTAGGTAAATGGGTATATGAGCCGACACTAGCCCATGTTAACATGGTCATATAAATGGTATGGTGAAGTCAGAAAATTTATTTCTTCATTTTAATTATTTTAATTTTCATACAAATCGGATTTTATAAAATTTATTTTGTACNGTTACAACAAAAAATTACAAGGATTTAAGTTTTGAATTTTAAGTTTTCACCTCTTCCTTCAGAAACAAGTGATAGCGTGGGTAGCTTAACACTAATAAGCAAAAATTTTATATCATGCGATAGCCAATAAAATTATCTATTAGAAGAAGTAGAAAACAGATACAAGTTTCATACATTTTAAGGGAGTAAGAATGGATTTAATTAGAAAAAAACAAGACTTTTTTCACTTCTTTTTCAGTTATTTTCCGACACAAGAAAAACCAGGTCGTTAAGGTATGTTTTATTTCCATTGTATTATTAGTATTTGAGCTATTCTACAAAACGAATGTAAATTTATTAGTCTACGTCTATTAGTTTCGACGTAATTTTTGAACAAAGATACCCCTTCCCAGCGGTTTCCTGACCTGGTTTTTCTTGTGTTGGAAAATAATTGAAAAGGAAGTGAAAAAAGTCACGTTTTTTTCTAATTAAATCCATTCTTACTACCTTAAAATGTATGAAACTTGTATCTGTTTTCTACTTCTGCTAATAAATAATTTTATTGACTGGCTATTTATCGCATGATATAATATTTTTGCTTATTAGTGTTAAAAGCTACCCACGCTATCACTTGTTTTTGAAGGAAGAGGTGAAAACTTTAAATTCAAAACTTAAATCTTTGTAATTTTTCGAGAAATGGGTCAAGCCCCAAATTTGAAGTATTTTCATCGATAAAATTGTCCATAGATTACGCCCTTAAAGTTTGATCACTACATGCCCGGACACATTGTATAGTTAATGATCCTGAAAGTGCTTCATGAGCTCTGTATCAGAAGAAAGAGAGAAAATACATTTATTTGGCAAATTAGAACAACAAATTACAGAATATTAATACGATAAAAAAAATAATTTAAAAATTATGCCAAATAGGCTTCCACTCAGCATAACGCCGCAGTGCGTAGCACCACGACGCTGGTTTTCAGTGGTCGCCTGATTGTAGTGGTGGAGAGGCGCAGGTAAACATTAAAAAACAAGACGCAACTGAGCAACGGTGACACATACACATTTTGGCATAAGTTTAAGTAAAGCAGAAACAACAAACATGACAATGATAATGAGAATAACAAGGCACAAGATCAGATACCAACAGTAGATACGTGCAAACAGTCCCCAAAATTGTTACGTGCAAAACTACATACTTAGCTATCAAATAATAAATTACAGAATAAACTGGATCTATCCAATAATTCAATGTTACCAGCTTCCATAATCTGTAACCTATTATTGGTACCATTTGAAAGAGCTCGTGAAGCACTTTCAGAATCAGTAACTAGTTTTTCGATATCTTGTAAAGTTTAGAAATAATCGAGTGAGATCACTTATCGTTTCCACCCTGTATAATCCGGCTGTATCACCAGGTCACCTAGATACATTCCATAGAAGCTGTAACAGACATTTAGATACATACATTGTAGATAAATAGGCATTTTGTATTAGTTTTTGTGTAACGCCAGAACAAAAACATAGGGCAATATTTTGGTGTTAAACATAGATTTCGCATATAAAAAATATATAATTTAACTAATTACGACATGACAAAAAAACTGAGGTATGTCTCGTTTCTGTCGGGTCTGGGATTTTTTGTATGGGGCGTGACCGTTCTTCTTTCACGCGGGTGAAGCCGCGGGCCTCAGATCATAGAAGGGAAAAAGCTAGTATGAGCATAGGTAGGTTTGAAATAATAATTATGATTTTATTTGTATTTCAACAATAATGATAACAGTGACTAATATTAATGAATAATGTAGAGATTAATCAATATACAGGGTGTTAGGTAAATGGGTATATGAGCCGACACTAGCCCATGTTAACATGGCCATATAAATGGTATGGTGAAGTCAGAAATTTAATATCATCATTTGATCATTTTAATTTTTTTTTCATACAAAATAAATTTTATAAAATTCGATTTGTATGAAAATTAAAATAATTAAAATGAAGACATAAATTTTCTGACTTCACCAAACTATTTATATGACCATGTTAACATGGGCTAGTGTCGGCTCATATACCCATTTACCTAACACCCTGTATTGTCAAATAAACAGGTTAAAATATTAATTCATTTACACATTAATTTATTAATTTATTAGTAGTCATTTATGAAAGTTTTCCTTATTTTAATTCTGCATGGAAACAAGCTTTCGTCATACTTAAAATTAATTATAGAGCTAAAGAGTTTGTTTGCTTGAACGCGCTAACCTCAGGAACTACTGGTCTGATTTGAAAAATATTTTTGTGTTGGATAGCCCATTTATCGAGGAAGACTTCAGCATAATCCATACCTCCGCACTTTCTTCATAATATCCTCATAAAAGTATAAAACTTTTAAAAAGCACTTTTACACGTCCCAGTATTAACCCTACCACTGCTTCGGGACAATAAATGGGCCAATGCTGAGAAGAAGTGCAGCTTCACCTGGGTGAATAAAGTGGAATTTAGACGCCCGTATCACAAACGATGCTGGCTTAAGTGAAGCAGTAAATCGAACGCACAGCGCTGAACAGAGCTCTGATTGGTTCGTGTGTCACTCTGTGCGTCCACGCGCACTGTGAGACCTCATAGTAATGTTTGTGAACACGGGCGTCATCATCATCATCTCAGCTATAGGACGTCCACTGCTGAACATAGGCCTCCCCAATGCTTTCCATGTTGCCCGGTTGCTAGCGGCCTGCGTCCAGCGCTTCCTGCTACCTTTATGATGTCGTCGGTCCACCTTGTGGGTGGACGTCCCACGCTGCGTTTTCCGGTACGCGGCCTCCATTCTAGAACCTTGCTGCCCCTTTGGCCGTCAGTTCTGCGTTATATGTCCTGCCCATTGCCACTTCAGCTTGCTAATCCGTCGAGCTATGTCAGCGACTTTAGTTCGTTTACGGAGTCCTCATTTCTGATTCGATCTCGTAAAGAAACACAGAGCATAGCCCGCCCCATAGCACGCTGTGCAACTTTGAGCTACTGTATAAGGCCTATAGTGAGAGGCCACGTTTCTGGCGGGCGTTAGTGTCCTCAAATGGTTCCGACCGAGGTGAAATGAGAAAATTCACCCAAGTGAACGAAGTGGAATAACCCACTGAGTTATACAGTTATGCACTACAGTGACATACAATCTTTTGGTAGGTATAGATGTAGTGACTGAAGTCAGGGTCGCTATTGCCAAGTTGAACAAAGACCTAAAAGCTATTACGGATTGGTCAATTAACCANTCCAGGTCACCTAGATACATTCCATAGCAGCTGTAATAGACATTTAGGTACAAATTTTGGTGATAAATAGGCATTTTGTATTAGTTTTTGTATAATGCCTGAACAAAAACAAAGGGTAATATTTTGATGTTATACATAGATTTCGGATATAAAAAAATATATTAACTAATTAAGATATGACAATAAAATTGAGGTGTGTCTCGTTTCTGTCGGGTCTGGGTTTATTTTGTATGGGGCGTGGGTGAAGCCGCGGGCAAAAGCTAGTATGAGCATAGGTAGGTTTGAAATAATAATAATGAATTTATTTGTATTTCAACAATAATAATAACAGTGACCAATATTAATGAATAATGTAGAGATTAATCAATATATTGTCAAATAAACAGGTTAAAATATTAATTCATTTACACATTAATTTATTAGTAGTCATTTAAGAAAGTTTTCCTTATTTTAATTCTGCATGGAAACAACAGCTTTCGTCATACTTAAAATTAATTATAGAGCTAAAGAGTTTGTTTGCTTGAACGCTCCAATCTCAGGAACTACTGGTCTGATTTGAAAAATCTTTTTGTGTGAGACCTCATAGTACTGTTAGTGAATACGGGCGTCATCATCATCATCTCAGCCATAGGATGTCCACTGCTGAACATAGGCCTCCCCCAATGCTTTCCATGCTGCCCGGTTGGTAGCGGCCTGCGTCCAGCGCCTTCCTGCTACCTTTATGATGTCGTCGGTCCACCTGGTGGGTGGACGTCCCACGCTGCGTTTTCCGGTACGCGGCCTCCACTCCAGAACCTTGCTGCCCCATCGGCCGTCAGTTCTGCGTTATGTGCCCTGCCCACTGCCACTTCAGCTTGCTAATCCGTCGGGCTATGTCAGCGACATTAGTTCGTTTACGGAGTCCTCATTTCTGATTCGATCTCGTAAATAAACACCGAGCATAGCCCGCTGTGCAACTTTGATCTACTGTATAAGGCCTATAGTGAGTGGCCACGTTTCTGGCGGGCGTTAGTGTCCTTAAATGGTTCCGTCCGAGGTGAAATGAGAAAATTCACCCAGGTAAACAAAGTGGAATAGCCCACTGAGTTATGCAGTTATGCACTACAGTCCATTGGTTAAAGTGGGGGGCGCGCCCCCCAGGGGAGGCGCAAAGACCTTTAAAGGGGGGCGCGGGTCATCTGTGTACTTAAGTATAAAAAACCTGCGACCGCTGAGAGAATGCATTCCAGACTGCTCGATACGACCAATAAATAATCTTGACTGGAGGAGGGGGGGCGGATTTTTTTGTATGGTCGAAAGGGGGCGCGTCTCGAATAAGTTTGGGAACCAATGCACTACATCTATACCTACCAACCGATTTTATGATGAACAATATGCATATTTGTCACTAATTAATATTGTTAATACGAAATTCGTCAATGCTCTAATCGCATGACATCATCATATTTATTCATTTCTGTATGTTTATACAAGGTGTGTAATTTTATATCATAACTAAATTATAGTTTAAGCGCTTAACTCACTCTGTGCCTGAGGCACTAGTGCCACTTGTGGTCTAAACTGAATAAATATTTTTGATTTAGATTTTTTGGTTTTGCACGGTATGACGTGACAGAGCATGTAAGCCGTGTGGTGACGGCAGAGTAGAATACATTTTGTCACCAACCCCTACTCTTCCCGCGGGTGTCGTAAGAGGCGACTTGGGGACTATATATCAAACAGAGAACGGGCAGCAGCGCTCTCTGAAAAACATCAATCTTTTAAACTGCGATCTCCAACTCGCCTGCCAAGCGTGGGGATTATGGCAAAACCCTTCACTATAGTGGAGGAGGCTCATAGTCCAGCAGCGGACTGTTGATGATGATGATGATATTGATGATGAATAATACAAAAGTGTAAGCAAAAGAACCTCCTGTATAGCCATAACNACCTTGCTGCCCCTTTGGCCGTCAGTTCTGCGTTATGTGTCCTGCCCATTGCCACTTCAGCTTGCTAATCCATCGGGCTATATCGGCGACTTTAGTTCGTTTACGGATCTCCTCATTTCTGATTCGATCTCGTAAAGAAACACCGAGCATAGCCCGCTGTGCAACTTTGATCTACTGTATAAGGCCTATAGTGAGTGGCCACGTTTCTGGCGGGCGTTAGTGTCCTTAAATGGTTCCGTCCGAGGTGAAATGAGAAAATTCACCCAGGTAAACAAAGTGGAATAGCCCACTGAGTTATGCAGTTATGCACTACAGTCCATTGGTTAAAGTGGGGGGCGCGCCCCCCAGGGGAGGCGCAAAGACCTTTAAAGGGGGGCGCGGGTCATCTGTGTACTTAAGTATAAAAAACCTGCGACCGCTGAGAGAATGCATTCCAGACTGCTCGATACGACCAATAAATAATCTTGACTGGAGGAGGGGGGGCGGATTTTTTTGTATGGTCGAAAGGGGGCGCGTCTCGAATAAGTTTGGGAACCAATGCACTACATCTATACCTACCAACCGATTTTATGATGAACAATATGCATATTTGTCACTAATTAATATTGTTAATACGAAATTCGTCAATGCTCTAATCGCATGACATCATCATATTTATTCATTTCTGTATGTTTATACAAGGTGTGTAATTTTATATCATAACTAAATTATAGTTTAAGCGCTTAACTCACTCTGTGCCTGAGGCACTAGTGCCACTTGTGGTCTAAACTGAATAAATATTTTTGATTTAGATTTTTTGGTTTTGCACGGTATGACGTGACAGAGCATGTAAGCCGTGTGGTGACGGCAGAGTAGAATACATTTTGTCACCAACCCCTACTCTTCCCGCGGGTGTCGTAAGAGGCGACTTGGGGACTATATATCAAACAGAGAACGGGCAGCAGCGCTCTCTGAAAAACATCAATCTTTTAAACTGCGATCTCCAACTCGCCTGCCAAGCGTGGGGATTATGGCAAAACCCTTCACTATAGTGGAGGAGGCTCATAGTCCAGCAGCGGACTGTTGATGATGATGATGATATTGATGATGAATAATACAAAAGTGTAAGCAAAAGAACCTCCTGTATAGCCATAAAACAATGTTGATAAGTCACACACTATATAAAGTAACTCAAAGTTATTAAAACCGACATTAATACTCGAGTTTTCCTGCATAGAGGAATCAATCCTTGCATCATGAAGACCGTATTATTGCTATTGTGTGCGCTCGCTAGTGTTTTCACGATGGAAATCCCGCATCGGCCGCAGCAAATCACAAAAACCATTGAAAATAAGAACAACGATATCACAGACCGACACAGAAACGAAGAAACGTTAACGATACAAACAGTGGAAGCACATCACGGAAATAAACAGGCGGTTGGTGAAAAGAAATTAACGAAACGTGATATCATAGGGGAGAGTTCGGTATATTGTACCGCCGGGTAAATTGTACCACCCCCATATTTCGTAAAGTATTTATTGAATGTCTGTAATTGCAACACTCAGCGATACACAACTAAAATCAATTAATATCGGCCATGTGGTTTTTGCCGTGACAACAAACACGTGNGCGCTCGCTAGTGTTTTCACGATGGAAATCCCGCATCGGTCGCAGCAAATCAGAAAAACCATCGAAAATAAGAACAACGATATCACAGACCGACTCAGAAACGAAGAAACGTTAACGATACAAACAGTGGAAGCACATCACGGAAATAAACAGGCGGTTGGTGAAAAGAAATTAACGAAACGTGACATCATATCAGGCAGCCAATATTGTCCAAGAGGCAAAATTGAAATCCATGGCGTGTGTGTGACTCCTATTCATATTGATGATGATGATGAATTTGATTCCTCAACAAACTCAAAACTCAATGTGGGAGAATCATTTAACAGACTTAAAAAGGCCATCGGTGAAAAAGAACTTACAAGAACGAAACGTGAACTGTGTAACTTTTGCCATTTTAAAGGTTGCCCATATGGTTATATCAGGATAAATTTTAAATGTTTTCCAGAAGAAGATGTCAACTCAGAATTCATTGAGAATGAAATCAAAAACAATCGTATACCCGGTTGCCCAGAAGGTAAATTTAATTACCAAGACATATGTATTGAAGACGAGTACATGTATCAATTTTGAAAATTAATTTTGTTAATTAAGGTCACAGCATACTTATCAACGCGGAAAAGGGTCAACACCGTATCGCCTTTCGCGCGCTGTCGACCGCGAGGCGAGGCGTTTACGTTACGGTGCCTTTCCGAGTTGATTAGACAATTAGTTAAAAATAGCTTATTTAATATATATACAATAATATATATACAAAATAAATTTTATAAAATCCGATTTGTATGAAAATTAAAATAATTAAAATGCAGATATCAATTTTCTGACTTCACCATACCATTTATATGACCATGTTAACATGGGCTAGTGTCGGCTCATACACCCATTTACCTAACACCCTGTATATATATCTTTAATAATAATAATCATAATAATAATTTCTATGATTTAATTGATTTAATACTAACATAGTTTTAAGCTTACATTGTTACTAACACTATATGGACCCTGGTTCGAAATAAACATATTATTATATATTTTTTTTATGTAATATTAAGTCTATATAACTTCAGCTTGTATTATTAAAGTCGATAGCAAACTGAAAATAGTAGTTTTCTTGTATTTTTCTAAACCTACCTACATACTTCTCTATTCTATAGGTCTAACTCAGGCACCGGCTCATAGACTAAGAGCTAGTGAACGCCAGACCTACGTCATTTTATAAAAGCTGAAAGTTTGTCAGCGTATGCTCCCAATATAGGATAGAATATTGGTGAATCATGAAGTTTGGGTCATGGTGGCTTCAGGAGCTACCCTAAAAAAACTGTTTGGCAAGGAGTTGGAACTGTCAAAAGTGTCTCATTGTTGGGGAAAATACTTCTAATTACTATTATGGTATAACGCAAGTCTAACTTATACCGTTTGTTAGTCGTATACCTCGAATTTAAAAAAATCCTTGTAGCTTTTCACCTATTCGCATTTCACCGTGATAGCGTTTTTTGTTGTAGCGTGTAATATCGGTAGTATATTTTGTTACTAGCATATATTTTTAACAGATTTTTACAACAGTAGCAAATTTTGATGTAGCATGTATTATCAATAGCCTATTTATTAAGCCGCATATATTTTGAATAGATTTTTACAACAGTAGCAAATTTCGATGTAGCATGAATTGTCATTAGCCTATTTAGTTAGGTTAGCAGCAAGTATTTTATGCATTTACAAAACAAAACTATAGAGGTATAGTGCTTAAAGGAAATATCGCGATATGTAATAACGCATTACAAACAAATATCTATCAAGGTGAAAAGCGACTACAGTGAAGACAGGCAGGAAAGTAAATCTACTATGAATTTTTTAGACAATTGTAATTAGCGATCAAAAATTATACTACAGGAATAAAAATCTATTCAGAAGTTTTGATATCGCGGCGAAATGCGAATAGGTGAAAAACTACAAGGATTTTTTGATTTCGAGGTATACGACTAACAAACGTTTTAAACTGCGATCTCCAACTCGCCTGCCAAGCGTGGGGATTATGGCAAAACCCTTCACTATAGAGGAGGAGGCTCATAATCCAGCAGTGGACTGTTGATGATGATGATATTGTAACGTTGCGGTTTAGCAGTTTTTCACAAATTGATTTTCTTACTCGATATTCGGATTTAGGATACCACTAACGACATTTATTGGCGTGATTTAGAAGTGGTTTGCAATAGATGGCGCTTTTTGATCAGTCAATTCAAATATATTTTATTGAAACATTTCCTAATGTTTTTATTTTGATTATTATATTTTTAAATAGAATATTTTCAGTGTTCTGGAAATTGTTTTCATCGTGGTTTTTATTATTATTATTAGTATATACTTTTTTAAGCGGCGAAACGAAACGTTTCGCGATGTCAATGACACGACTGAATTTTGGTCGATCGTGCGCAATCGCAATTTTATTATTTTCGGGGATGTAATCCCCTGTATTTCAAATCGTGTGATGCAAAATGCATCCACGATAATTTCTTAATATATTTTAAAAATCAACACACATGAGGTAAGTTCCCGTCGGAGAATTTATTTATTTTTCGTGATTGATATTTTTCGTATTCCAGTACGTGGTATTTCATGTGATCGTTTTCTTTCAGAAATTTCCTAAACGTTATTTCGGATGAGGGTTGGGATGCTGAAGACTGCAAGTGAAGTTCAAATAGCGAGCAGTCTTCCTAAGTATTTGTTTCCCATTGCTGGATTTTTCATAACCTAATGCCACGTTCCACATGTGATGCTGACACTCGTATTTTTCGTTTCAGATGCGGGATTTTACATTTTACATAATACATTTTACATATTCATATTTTATGATATTTCATATACAACGTGTCCCAAAATTTAAGGATAAGCCGGCGCCGCATAGTCATGACTACTTTAGGAAAAATAAGGAAAAAAAATATATCTCAATTATTTTTTAAAGTTAGACAATAAATTACGAAATTCTTCGAAAGTTGACACCCCTTATGATATTTTACATTACCACGACTACCATTTTTCAAATATTTCTGATCCATCCTGACCATTTTTCATTATCAGGACCCTGGACATCATCTAGCACTAAAGTGCTCTAAAAGACAAGTCCAACGAACCCAAACTAGATGCTTTCCGAATCGAATGCGAATTCCGCCGTTTCGTTAAGAGTTCCTATGGCCACCTCCAGACTCCATCCAGCTCAATGGTACCATAATATTGCATTGTCATCGTACTTACAGAAGTATACCAAATTTTAGCTCAATTGGTTAAGGAGAACTGGTTTTAAATTCAGTTGCAAGATTTATCCCATACTAACTAACAAGCAAAGTGCTTGTAAAAATGGTACGCATATCTTTTTTGCGACTAGGTTTCTTAGAGTATTATTNATTTAGGCAGTTAAATACTGCACAGTATTTAGTACACCATTTTCTTTATTTTCTTCCATCATACACAAGAATACGCGTGCGTGAGTCAATGTTCGCTCGTATGTGAGGCCTTGTTGAATAGTATCCTGTAGGTGAGGGTCATCGTGCGTGTTTTGTTTTCGATGTAAACTCGCGGAGATGAACAGGCCTGGCCAGACCTACGTCATTTTATAAAAGCTGAAAGTTTGTCAGCGTATGCTCCCAATATAGGATAGAATATTGGTGAATCATGAAGTTTGGGTCATGGTGGCTTTAGGAGCTACCCTAAAAAAACTGTTTGGCAAGGAGTTGAAACTGTCAAAAGTGTCTCATTGTTGGGGAAAATACTTCTAATTATTGCCCAAATATTAAGCATAAAAATCAGATTTTATGGTATAACGTAAGTCTAACTTATACGGTGGCTTTTTCTGTATATTCAATAGACTGTAATTCTGCTAACGTTATACCAATAAATATGACTTTTATGTATACCTAGCTTCTGCCCGCGTGTAATTTTGTGCCACAATTGGCATATATTATAATAATAATAATAAATAATAAATTTATTAAAAAAAAAAAAAAAAATTAGCACAAACAAACTGCAAAACTTACAAGTAACATAACTTATCATTCAATGCTTTTGTATTACAATGTTTACCAATCTAATAGAATTATAGATTTCTACACTAGGCAAGGCCTGTCCTGTAGACAGTCTTTTATTATCGCCCGTATGTTAATTTGGGTTACAAATAATAATACACTTATCCGCACCGTAACGTAAACGCCTCGCCTCGCGGTTGACAACGCGAAAGGCGATGACAGCTCGCGAAAGACCTTAAATGCACTGATGATGATGATGATAATGATGATGATTGTCGGCCGTTTGGTGTAGTGGTTCGAAACGGACTACTATTCCGGAGGTAGCGGGTTCGATTCCCGCTCAGTACAAACATTTGTGTGCATGAACATATTTGTTTGTATTGGACTGGGTGTTTTCTATGTATAACTAGCTTTCCGCCCGCGTGGAATTTCGTTTGTTAAATTTTCCTGAATTTTCTTTGCTAAAACCTCACAGCCCGAGACCTTTCCAACGAATGCAAAACCGTGGAAATCGGTTCTTGCGTCAGGAGGGAAAACCCGACTTATTGCAAGCTTTTTTTATATACAGGGTGTTAGGTAAATGGGTATATGAGCCGACACTAGCCCATGTTAACATGGTCATATAAATGGTATGGTGAAGTCAGAAAATTGATATCTTTATTTTAATTATTTTAATTTTCATACAAATCGGATTTCATAAAATTTATTTTGTATGAAAATTAGTAGTATAGTAAATACATACTTATCTAGGTATGTATTTACAAAAAAAAAGTATTTAAGTATGTTTATATCCTTTGTCTAGTACCCATAGTACAAGCTTTGCTTAGTTTGGGACTAGAGGCGCAGTGTAAAATGTCCAAGGATATTTATTTATTTATTTTATTTATGATGATGGATGTGGAATCACTCACCCAGTCACAGCGAGAGAGCCGTCAATTTGGAAGGCGACACTGTACACAGGTTTTGCGTGTCCCTCTTGATGCAGGACTTCAGTTGCTGAAAACAAAAAATTAAGATTTAAAGCGCGCCATAGTTAAAGCAAGCCCTGTGACGTCAAGGTGTGCTTAAATAAAAGTGTAGCACTTTGTGACGGAACTTCAACGCATCATAACTTCGTAATTACTTGTTTGATTGACAAATCTAAATATACAGGGTGGAATTTTGTAATGCCACCTGGAGGGAAAGTACTCGTAATACCGTTAAAACATTTTAGTGAAAGAAAACATTCTTTTATTTTTGAAAAGAAAGAGAACTGCATTCAAAAATTTTCGAAAAAATTTCGAAAATTTACTACCATACCATACAATTTTCTGTACATAATTAAAATAATTTAAGATTTCATGGTTTTCTTTTCATTTGATTTATCAAGTTTGTTAGAGAGATTTCATCCTTATACTTAACCCTAACGATAGATGTAATAAAAATACAATTACAATTCCAAAAATTTGCTTGCCACACCCGGGACTCGAACCAACTAAAATCTGTTAAAAATTACACACTGTATTTTTAATGCATCGATCGTTAGGGTTAAGCATAAAGATGAAATCTCTCTAATAAACTTGTTAAATCAAATGAAAAGAAAACCATCAAATCTTAAATTATTTTAGACAATTTTATGCAGCTTACTATTTTATTTATTTTACCAAATGGTCCGTGACCCTCACTCGGCATGGGGCACACTGAAAACCAGCGCCGTGGCCTTCGTCACCGTGGGCCACGGCATATGCTGAGTGGGGTCCCATTGCAGTGGGCATCTTGTTGGTGAATGGGTGGCACTGCTCAGTTTTACTCTTGTTTTTATTTTTTCTTCTTCCATTATTATGTGCCACTGTCATGTCTATGTAATTGCCTGTTTTTGTGTGATGTCCATTGTAATAAATATATCTTTCTTTCTTTCTTTCTATTTTAATTGTTTACAGAAAATTGCATTGATTGGTGGTGAATTTTTGAAAAATTTTCGGAAATCTTTGAATGCATTTCTCTTTCTTTTCAAAAATAAAAGAATGTTTTCTTTGAGTAAAATTTTATGTCTACAGTATTAAGAGTACTTTCCCTCCAGGTGGCATTACAAAATTCTACCCTGTATAACTCAAAGGCGACTGAGATAGTGATCTAAAGCCTGGTCCGTGAGCACGTAGAATTTTGTCCAATGACCCCAAGCTACCCATCCTTATCGCTCGCGCGTAATTATGTTGCTGTCGCGCTCGCACATTCACAGCGGGCGCCCGTCGCACAGTCGCGACAGCAATATAANTAGAATTTTGTCCAATGACCCCAAGCTACCCATCCTTATCGCTCGCGCGTAATTATGTTGCTGTCGCGCTCGCACATTCACAGCGGGCGCCCGTCGCACAGTCGCGACAGCAATATAATTACGCGCGAGCGATAAGGATGGGTAGCTTGGGGTCATTGGACAAAATTCTACGTGCTCACGGACCAGGCTTTATCAACACACAGCCCAAACCACTGGACGGATCGGGCTGAAATTTGGGATGCAGGTAGATGTTATGACTTAGGCATCCGCTAAGAAAGGATTTTACGAAACTCCACCCCTAAGGGGGTAAAACGGGATCCACGCGTATGAAGTCGCGGGCGGCCGCTAGTCAGAAATAAAGATTAAGATTAAGAACAGAGATTTTTGACATTTAAATGACTTGGCGCCATTAGCGAGTGACTTGGCGCCGTTACTGGCAACGGTGTATGACTTGGCGCCACTACTAGTGACAGTGTATGACTTGGCGTCACTAAATAGCAACTTGGCGCCATGACAGGCAGCTAGTCTATACTTATAATAAATCTGTAGAGAGGTCAATTCTGTACATGAAATATATTTTCAAAATAACTATCAGGGGGTGATTAGTGATCGATACCGATGCCAAAAATGCAATCAGTAAAATTTTTGTCTGTCCGTCTGTATGTTCCTTATAGAATCAAAAACTACTCGACGGATTTTAACGATACTTAGTACAAATTCTTCATACTCCTGGGCAGGTTATAGTATACTTAGGAATTCCCACGGGTACGGGAATTAGCGGGAAAATCCTTTTGTAAGAAAAATCTAAACCGCTTAAGTTAGACGCTTGAAATTTGGCATGCAGGTACCTTAGCAAACTTAAAGCTTAGTTACAATAGGATATCGCAAAATTCCCACGGGAACGGGAAGAATAAGAATAAGAATAAGAAATTTATTCATAATGTTCATTACATGTCAAATTTTCAATATATTTTCTTATTAATAATAAACAATTGCAGTATTAATAAGAAAGAAATACACATCATGTCCAAATAAATTAATAATACAAATAGAATTAAAATGTCAATTAAATGTCAAAATAATATAATGAAGGGGGTAAAACGGGATCCACGCGTACGAAGTCGCGGGCGGCCGCTAGTGAGAAATAAAGCATTAAACTCACCGGTCTCCAAATCCCAAAGCCGCCAGGAGTGGTCAAAAACTGTGGTGGCCAGAAATCGTCCTGAAGGGTGGAACTCCGCGCGGGACACGCGGGATGGCCCGTGCCCGTCTAGGGACGCCATCGGGGCTTCGCTGCGGGACAAAGAGAGAAGTAAAGTTAAACACGGTAAACTAAGACTTGGCGCCACTACGACGTGACTTGGTTCCAATAGCTAGTGGCAGCGGTAGCCATGCGCCACTAAATAACAATTTGGCGCCACTAGCGAGTGGCTTGGCGCCACTAAATAATGATTTGGCGCCACTAACTTGCGACTAGGTGACATTACTAAGGACAGCGGTGACTTGGCGCCACTAGCTAGTGACAGCGAGTGTCTTATCCAAGAGCGATGGGCCGTGCCCGTCTAGAGACGCCATCGGGGCCTCGCTGCGGGACACAAAATGAGTTAGTAATTTGGCGCCTCTGACTTGGCGCCATTATTAGAGACCATGTTGACTTGGCGCCACTAAATAGCAACTTGGCGCCATTAGCTAGTGACTTGGCGCCACTGGATAGTCGTCGTAATGCCCGTCTAGAGACGCCATCGGAGCCTCGCTGCGGGACAAAATAAGTTAAGGCTCTTCTTAGTAAAGTTAAACACAGTAACTAGTGACTTGGCGCCACTAGCTAGTCACTTGGCGCCACTAAAGTGACTCGGCGTCACTAGTTAGTGTCTAGGTACCATTACTAGTGACAGCGAGTAATTTGGCGCCTCTAGCTTGCGACTTGGCGCTATTACTAGTGATAGCGAGTGATTTGGCCTCTATCTTGTGACTTAACGCCGCTAGCTAGTGACTTGGCGCCACTAGCCAGTCACTTGGCGCCATTGGCCAGTGTATGACTTGGCGCCACTCAATAGGAATGGCGCCACTACCTAATGACAGCGAGTGGTCAAACACTGTGGTGGCCAGGAATCGTCCCGAAGGGTGGAACTCCGCGCGGGACACGCGGGATGGCCCGTGCCCGTCTAGGGACGCCATCGGGGCCTCGCTGCGGGACACAAAAAATACATTCTTCATAAGTCAATTGGCGCCATTAGCGGGTGACTTCGCGCCACTATCGAGAGACACCAAACAACTTGGCGCCGCTAGAAAGTGACAGCGGGTGACTTGGCGTCACTGGGTAGTCACTTTGCATCATTGGCTAGTCTTCAAGGCGCCACTAGCTAGTGACTTGGCGCCACTGGCTAATGACTTGGCGCTACTGGCGAATGACTTGGCGTCCCTGAAAACCACAGCAGGTGACTTGGCGCCCCTAACTAGTGTCTTGACGCCACTAACTAGTGACAGAGTATGATTTGGCGCCACTAGCTAGAAACAGCATATGACTTGGCGCCACTGGCAAGTGACTTGACGCCTCTAGGTAGTGACTTGGCGCCACTACATAATGACAGCGAATGACTTGGCGCCACTAAACAGTGACTTGGCCGCCAGGAGTGGTCAAACACTGTGGTGGCCAGAAACCGTCCCGAAGGGTGGAACTCCGCGCGGGACACGCGGGATGGCCCGTGCCCGTCTAGGGACGCCATCGGGGCCTCGCTGCGGGACACACAATGGGTTAGGGTTAAGTTACACACACATACAACACACTAAACTAAGACTTGGCGCCACTAAAGTGACTCGGCCCTATAAAAAGCGATTTGACGCCACTAAATAGTGACTTGGTGCCATGACAGGTGATAGCATAAAACTTGGCGCAACTGGCGAGTGACGGCGCCATTAAATAACAACTTAGCGCCACTAGCTTGTGTCTAGGTGCCATTACTGGTGACAGCTTATGACTTGGCGCCACTAACTAGTGACTGGGCGCCATTACTAGTGACAGTGAGTGATTTGGCGCCACTAGATAGTGACTTGACGCCACTACCTAATGACAGCGAGTGTCCTATCCCAGCCATGGGATGCCATCGGTGCTTCACTGCGGGACACAAAATGAGTTAAGGCTAAATAAAGACACGCTAAACTAAGCCTTGGCGCCACTACGACGTGACTTGGTTCCAATAGCTAGTGGCAGCGGTAGCTATGCGCCACTAAATAACGATTTGGCGCCACTAAATAATGATTTGGCGCCACTAACTTGTGACTAGGTGACATTACTAGGGACAGCGGTGACTTGGCGCCACTAGCTAGTGACAGCGAGTGTCTTATCCCTGAGCGATGGCCCGTGCCCGTCTAGGGACGCCATCGGGGCTTCGCTGCGGGACACAAAATGAGTTAGGGTTAAGTAACACACACACACAACACACACCATACTAAACTAAGACTTGGCGCCACTACGACGTGACTTGGCGCCAATAAAGTGACTCGGCCCTGTAAATAGCGATTTGGCGCCACTAACTAGTGACTTGGCGCCATTACTAGTATAAAACTTGGCACAACTGGCGAGTGACTTGGCGCCTCTAGAGCGACTTGGCGCCATTGGCGAATGACTTGGCGCCACTGAAAAGCGACAGCAGGTGATGACTTGGCGCCACTAGCTAGTGACTTGGCGACATCATTAGTGACAGAGTATGACTTGGCGCCACTAAATAGCAACTTGGCGCCACTAGCTAGAAACAGCTTATGACTTGGCGCCACTAAACAGTGACTTGGCCGCCAGGAGTGGTCAAACACTGTGGTGGCCAGAAACCGTCCCGAAGGGTGGAACTCCGCGCGGGACACGCGGGATGGGCCGTGCCCGTCCAGAGACGCCATTGGGGCTTCGCTGCGGGACACACAAAAAGAAGAAGTGAATTGGCGCCACTGGCTAGTAGCTTGGTACCACTAGCTAGTGACTTGGCGCCACTGGATAGTCGTCGTAGTGCCCGTCCATAGACGCCATCGGGGCTTCGCTGCGGGACACAAAATAGACTTAGGGCTTTATGGTAAAGTTAATCACCTAGTGGCGCCAATACGACTTGAGTTGCCACCAATAGACAGTGACAGCGATTGACTTGGCGCCACTAGCGAGTGACACCAAGTGACTTGGCACTACTAGAAGGTGCTAGCGAGTCACAGCGAGTGACTTGGCACCACTAACAAGGGACTTGGCGCCACTAGCGTGTGACAGCAATCGACATGGTGCCGCTAGATAGTGAGTTGGCGTCCTTAATAGTTATTTGGCGCCCCTAATAAGTTACTTAGCGCCCCATAGATACGACTTGGCGCCACCATGTAGTGACTTGGCGCCACAATATAGTGACTTGGCGCCACTAAATAGTGAGTTGGCCCCACTATCCGGTGACTTGGCGCCACTAGCGAGTCACTTAGCGCCTCTGCCTACCTGCTGAAGTTCCACAGATACACGGTGCCGTCATAGGCGCAGGACGCCATGGTGCACGCGGCAGACTTTTCATCAGTCTTACTATCTTGGCGCCACTAGATAGACAGCGAGCCATTTGGTGCCATAAGGGAGTGACATGGGGCGCCCCTAGCTAGTAATAGTGAGCGACTTGGCGCCACAGCTAGTGACTTGGCGCCACTAGCCTGTGCCTTGGCGCCTCAGCTAGTGACAGTAAGTGTAAATAGTGATTTTGTGCCCCTAGCTAGTAAAAGCGAGTGATTTGGCGCCACGGCTATTAACTTGGCGCCTCTTAATAATGACATGGCGCCACTAGCCTGTGCCTTGGCGCCTCAGCTAGTGTAAATAGTGATTTGGCGCCCCTAGCTAGTAAAAGCGAGTGACTTGGCGCCACATCAAGTGACTTGGCGCCAAATCAAGTGACTTGGCGCCACAGCTAGTGACAGTGAGTTACTTTTGGCGCCACTAATTAATGACTTGGCGCCACTATTTAGTGACTTGGCGCCACTAACTAGTGACTATCTACCTACCTGCTGAAGTTCCACAGATACACGGTGCCGTCATAGGCGCAGGACGCCATGGTGCACGCGGCAGACTTTTCATCTTTCCATCTTTTGTACTATCGGGGCCTCTTCCGCCTGACCACTTTGTAGAAATTTTAGCGTAAGCGCATCGCTCCGGTCACGTGCTCACCGCGTCTCTAATTGGTTACGCATTTTACTATATTTTTACTACGACCAATAAGAGACAATCAGGGCTTAGGTTGCAATACGAAATACCATTGTGCACTTTATTGTCATACGGTTAAGGTTTAAAACGAAATGTTTCTTTTTCTTCAATCTTTCTTAGTTTTAGGCTGAGTTGCACCACCTAACTTTGACCGTAACTATAACGGTAACCGGTCCTTTTTGTATGGAGTTTGACAGAATTTTGACGTTTGTTAAAGTTAAAGTAAGATGGTGCAACTCAGCCTTAGAATTTTAATAATAGAATTTGGTTACAAACAAATAGATATGTATTTTTTTTAATATTGTGTTTTTATACGAGGTCTGTCTGCTTTTTGCTTTGGCGATCTGTCGACATATTCTCTCCTTTGTTTTTTTGTGAAGTTTCGTGATCAATAACCGATTGATTTGTGTTGACCCGTGCTAGTAATTGGACTGTTTGATTGCCTTTTTATTGACCTCCGCTCGATTACTGAACCATGCCTCTCAAAATAATTCTTATATTTACTTACAAACTTATCTATACATTGTTAACTGTTTAAGTATTATTTAGTTTGAAGTTTAATTGTTATTGATTTAAGACCTTGTGTAAAGACACTTAATGTGCAATAAAAAATTGAATTTGAAATAAAACTAACTTAATATTATAATATTTACGATAACCAATTACCTGGATGTGAGATGTTCCGTTTTAAAGATAAGTGTTTCTTTAAAACGGAAAACAAAATATGCATTAAAAATAAATAGAAACCTATCAGGTATAAGTTTTTATTTACATTCAAGGATTTAAGAAAGTTATAGCCAGATCTTACAATGATTGTTTTAAGCCACAAATATTCCTTAACACTTTACTAATTAATTCAATAACATATTGTTTAAATAAGTTCCGAATAAATTAAATACCTATTAAATAAGTAAAATTCGAAAGCAACTGTATGATATTGTATTTCTCGCCCTAACTAGCTAAACTAATATCATGAGATTTACACTCATAATATCAACAATAATTGTAGAAAGGGCTACTTTTTTCTCGGGAAATTGCATAGTTACCTCGGAATGTGCGATAGCAATTTTGTGACCCGAGCGGGCAATCGCTAGTTCAAATTTTACACGAAGCCTCATATAATATTTTGTAGCGATTCTTTATTGGGTTTCAAATTGACTAAAATGCGACGTTGCCAAACGTGCGCTACGGATGCGGGTAATAAGCAATACTCAATCCTAATTGCTTTACATAGAGCTTGGTTTGCTAGGGCAAACATCTACAGTGGTGCGCCGACGCTGCTTAGACCCGAAATATGAATGAACGGGGGCGGAGTTTAATCGAGCGTGTGTGTGCAAACAATTTAGGCCCTTAAGGTGTCAAGGCGTTCGAGTCCCCGATAGTACATCAGACTTACTATCTTGGCGCGACTTATGGTTGACTTAGCGCCCCTAGTGAGTGACTTAGCGCCACTAGCTTGTGACTTGGCGCCCCCTAGTGAGTGACTTAGCACCACTATCCAGTGACGTGGCGCCTCAGCTAGTGACTAAGTGTAAATAGTGATTTGGCGTCACTAAATAGTGTGCTAGTAATAGTATGACTTGGGGCGCCACTAGATAGTCTCAGTGAGTGGATTTTGGCGCCATTGACAGTTTGACTTGGCGCCACTCACTAGTGACTTGGCGCCACTAACTAGTGACTATCTACCTACCTGCAGAAGTTCCACAGATACACGGTGCCGTCATAGGCGCAGGAAGCCATGGTGCACGCGGCAGACTTTTCATCGGTCTCCATCGCTTCAGGCGTGTCTGATGTGCCTTCTTTTGTACATCAGACTTACTATCTTGGCGCCACTAGCTAGTGACTTGGCGCCACTATATAGTGACTTGGCGCCCCTAATAAGTTACCTAGCGCCCCATAGATAATGACTTGGCGGCACAATAGTGTGACTTGACTAGATAGACAGCGAGTCATTTGGTGCCATTAGGGAGTGACATGGGGCGCCCCTAGCTAGTAATAGCGAGTGATTGGCGCCACAGCTAGAGATTTGGCGCCACAGCTAGTCACTTGGCGCCACATGCGAATGACTATGCAACTTGTTAGTAACGGCGCTACTGGCGAGTGACTGTGTGAGTGAGCAAGCGAATTGGCTCCACTAGATAGTGAGTTAGCGCCCCCTAGTGAGTGACTTGGCGCCTCAGCTAGTGACAGTAAGTGTAAATAGTGACTTGGCGCCACTACGTAGTGACACCAGTGACTTGGCGCCTCAGATAGCGACAGTAAGTGTGGCGTCATTAAATAGTCACTTGGCGCCACTAAAACATGAGTTGGCACCACAAGCTAGTGACTTGGCGCCACTAAATAGTGACTTGGCGCCATTGGCTACCTACCTGCTGAAGTTCCACAGATACACGGTGCCGTCATAGGCGCAGGAAGCCATGGTGCACGCGGCAGACTTTTCGTCGGTTTCCATCGCTTCAGGCGTGTCTGATGTGCCTTCTTTGGTGTTCTTTATCTGTATGGAAAAATAAGAAAATAATATACAGGGTGGTTTATTTATTTATTTATTTGATCACCAACAAGGTTACATTGAGGCTTCACAAAAGTAACTATAAAAAATGTCACTTGTTAATGCAAACTTAATTAAAAGTGAAAACATCATGCGTTAGAGACTAAAGCAACAGCAATTAGGGGTTAAAAACTTAAAATATTTAATATGGTGTAAAGAAGTCCCTATGGTGAGATTTTGTAAAACTACGCCCATCTCATGGGTAGTACACATTAAAGTAATTACAAGAAAAATATACAGGATGGAATTTTGTAATGCCACCTGGAGGGAAAGTACTCTTAATACTGTAGATAGAAAAATTTACTGAAAGAAAACATTCCTTTATTTTTGAAAAGAAAGAACTGCATTTAAAGATTTTCGAAAAATTTTCGAAAATTCACCACCATACCATACAATTTTCTGTACATAATTAAAATAATTTAAGATTTCATGGTTTTCTTTTCATTTGATTTATCAAGTTTGTTAGAGAGATTTCATCCTTATACTTAAGCGACTAATAGTTGCTGCGTATCCCCTCTGTGCTGTTATAATTTTAAATATAAATAACATAAATTAACATAATTATTTTCTTTTTACACCAGGCTCGCCAGTAGGGATGCGCAGTAGCTGATAGGGCTTCCTGCTGAAAATCAGTGTCGGGATACCCTATTAAGGTGTCCCAACTAAAACTGAGCAGGCGCCCTATTAACATGCATTCGTCTCTTTCTTTTAAATGTGTTGTATTGTATTGTATGTGTGTTAATAAAAGTTATTTATTATTATTATTATTATTATTAACCCTAACGATTGATGTAAAAAAATACAGGGTGAAATTTTTAACAGATTTTAGTTGGTTTGATTCCCGGGTGTGGTAAGGAAATTTTTGGAAATCTTTGACTGCAGTTCTATTTCTTTTCAAACATAAAGGAATGTTTTCTTTGAGAATTTTTTTCTATCTACAATATTAAGAGTACTTTCCCTCCAGATGGCATTACAAAATTACATCCTGTATAAGTCCCCGCGCGTTTTTGATTTTTCACAATTTTAATATTATCAGAGTAAATACAAATGAGTAGGTCATCTTCATAGAAACGCACCGAGCGCGGTTTGTATGTGAGCGCGCCAAGCGCGCACGCACACACTGCAACTCCCCGCTAATCCCCGGTAAATTTTGTCATTTGTATTTTCTCTGATATTATCTATCTAATTTAATTCGACAATACCTTATCTCTAAAGTGGTTAGGCAGCGCGGCCTGTGGATGGAACACAGCGCTGCTGACGTTGCAAGAGTGACCTTTCAGCACTTGCAGCGGCGTGCAGTCCGGTACTGACCACACCTTGCTGAGTCCGGACCTGAGAGGTAGATAAATAAAAACTAATAATAGATAATAAAATTAAACAAAAAAGTAAAAAAAAAAATGCAATCTTGCTAAATAAAATCATTACTTTTTGATGTGGTCAAATATTCACCCTGTATAGTGTCACCCAACAAAAAGGTTGATTCTACTGCTCAAATGAAACTTTCCCCAAGAGAAGGAAATTCAAATCTATACTAAATGCGAAAGTAACTCTGTCTGTCTGTCTTTCACGCCTAAACTACTGAAACGATTTTGATTAAATTTGGCATAGAATTAGTTTTTATCCCGGTTTTTGAAACAGGGACGCGCGCGATAAAGTTTTTCTGTGACAGACAAAATTCCACGCGGGCGAAGCCGCGGGCGGAAAGCTAGTCTTAAATAAAACTTACCATACAAATTGCATCAGTAATCAGTCAATTAGTATGGGAACGTCTTTTTTATACAGGGTGGAATTTTGTAATGCCACCTGTAGGGAAAGTGCTCTTAAAGGCATGTTTTACTCAAAGAAAACATTCCTTAATTCTTTTAAAGAAATGGTGAAGGTATGATTGAGAATTTTAGGAAATCTTTGAACGCAGTTCTCTTTCTTTTAAAAAATAAAGGAATGTTTTCTTTAAGCAAAATTTTCTATCTACAGCATTAATCATAATATCTTTATTGCTTCATGTGGTACAAACAAGGTATCCCAACTAATCCCAACTAATATTATAAATGCGAAAGTAACTCTGTCTGTCTGTCTGTCTGTCTGTTACGCTTTCCCGCTTAAACCTCGCAACCAATTTTGATGAAATTTGGCATAGAGATAGTTTGAGTCCCGGGAAAGAACATAGGATAGTTTTTATCCCGGTTTTTGAAACAGGGACGCGCGCGATAAAGTTTTTCTGTGACAGACAAAATTCCACGCGGGCGAAGCCGCGGGCGGAAAGCTAGTTAAAAATAAAACAGTCCCAGAACATGAGCGCTGTGAGGGCATTGCAACATTGTACATAATATTAATTTAAGCAGTAGAATCAATCCTTTATGTTTGGCCCACCAATGGGTCATGTATTTACTTACCAACTTGAAGTTATAAGCATTTGACTGTCGCTGCTGAATCTGCAAAAGCTGATTGGCCGAGTGTCGCCAATCTGAAATGAATATACAATGTTTTCTAATACGTCACTCTATTTATTAAAAAAAAGTTTTATTGGTATTTATTCAAATTCAAAGACGTTTATTGCATGCATATTTATTTCAGTTTTTTATGGATAGATTTACTTTTTTTTGTCATGATCATGCAAGAACAAGATGCCAACAAATAGTAATTTAAAAATGTAAACACAAAAAGAAATTCAATAATTAAGTTGTTCAGCTATATTTCATGGATAGCCTGCAAGTCTTTGTAGTGATGCATAAAAAATAAAATTAAAAATAATTATACAAAATTCTACGTGCTCGCAGACCAGACTATAGTAAAATAGGTTCTGGTCTAGAAAAAGTTGGGAACCACTGATTTAGTAAATTACCTGGCTGCAATATATGGAGATGGCGGAGGCCTTTCTCTGCGAGTCTTGTTTCGCTGCTGCCCTTACGCTGCCTGCCAGTTGCAGGTCCTCACGGGCTTTCGTAAGCCTGGATACAAAAAAAACACGATTAAGATCTTTGACAAATCGATTCTCATAATACTGGCTTTTGTCCGCGACTTCGCTTCGTGAATATTTGATCCGCATTTCATCCCTTTAGGGCATTGGTTCCCAAACTTATTTGAGACGCGCCCCCTTTCGACCATACAAAAAATTCCGAGGGGGGCGGGCCTCCTCCAGTCAAGATTATTTATTGGTCGTATCGAGCAGTCTGGAATGCATTCTCTCAGCGGTCGCAGGTTTTTTATACTTAAGTACACAGATGGTCCGCGCCCCCTTTAAAGGTCTTTGCGCCTCCCCTGGGAGGCGCGCCCCCCACTTTGGGAACCAATGCATACCTCAGGAGGTAAATTTTGACGCCTTTTCACCCCCTTAGGGGGTAGTTTGATGAACGTTCAGCTAAGGTTTAGGTTTTAGGGTGTATTGATACCATTTTCATCCCTTTAGGAGGCAAATTGTGATGCTTTTTTTACCCCTTTAGGGGGTAAATTATGAGACATTCTCACCCTCTTAGGGCATAAATTTTGAAGTCTTTTTCACCCCCTTAGGGGGTACATTTTGATACCTTTTCACCCCCTTAAGGGTTAAATTTTAACGCATTTTCACCCCCTTAGGGGGTAGATTGATGAACGTTTAGCTAAGGTTTAGGTTTTTAGTTCCACTGACCTCTGTTTGGCCCTCGGCAAGCTATACCGAGCGATCCAAAGCCTAGCGTCCCTCAACTCCGGAGGTCCTTCGTGGTACCACGTGCCCTCGCGGCCTCTGTCTCTCTCTATTACGGGCCTCCTTCTCTAATACCTACCTACTTGAGTCGATTATCATAATACTAGCTTACATTTTGAGACATTCTCACACCCCCTTAGGGGATAAATGTTGACGTCTTTTCATCCCATTAGAGATTAAATTTTAGCGTCTTTTCACCCCCTTGGGGAGTAAATTTTGATACCTTTTCCACCCCTTAGGGGGTAAATTTTGATACCTTTTTCACCCCCTTAGAGGGTAACTTACATTTTGATACCTTTTCACCCCTTTAGGGGGTAGATTGATGAACGTTTAGCTACTAAATTACTCGTTTTAGTTCCACTGACCTCTGTTTGGCTCTCGGCAGTGAGTACCGAGCGATCCAAAGCCTAGCGTCCCTCAACTCCGGAGGTCCTTCGTGGTACCACGTGCCTTCGCGGCCTCTGTCCCTTTCTATACGGGCCTCCTCCTCTAATACCTACCTACAGTACCTACTTGAGTCGATTATAATAATACTAGCTTTGCCCGCGGTTTCGCTTGCGTGAATTTTAGATTACCGTTTCATCCCCTTAGGGAGTACAGTTTGATACCTATTTCAACCCCTTAGGGGGTAGTTTATCTACTAAGTTACTCGTTACTCGACTAATGCGAACAAGTACCACTGACCTCTGTGGTCACACCATCCCCTATGGGTCACACCATACCATCCCCTCTGAGCCACATTGTCCCCTTATATCCCCAGAAGCTAGGTACACCTGAATATGTAAGATTTCTACTGACCTCTGTTTGGCCCTCGGCAAGCTATACCGAGCGATCCAAAGCCTAGCGTCCCTCAACTCCGGAGGTCCTTCGTGGTACCACGTGCCCTCGCGGCCTCTGTCCCTCTCTACACGAGCCTCTTCCTCTAGTATACTACTTGAGTCGATTAACATAATACTACCTTTTTTTAGATACCCGTTTCATCCCCTCGGGTTAAATTTTGATACCTTTTTCACCCCCTTAGAGGGTAACTTTTGATTCCTTTTCCACCCCCTCAGGAGGTAACTTTTGATACAGTTTCACTCCCTTAGGGGATAAATTTTGATACCATTTTTTTCACCCCCGTAAGGGGTATATTTAATCGCCTTTTCACCCCCTTAGGGGATCAATTTTGATACCATTTTCAACCCCGTAAGGGGTAAATTTTAACGCCTTTTCACCCCCTTAGGGGGTAAATTTTGATACCTTTTTCAACCCTTTAGGGGGTACATTTGGATACCTTTTTCACCTCCTTAGGGGGTAAATTTTGATACCTTTTCACCCCTTTAGGGGGTAGTTTGATGAACGTTTAGCTACTAAATTACTAGTTTTAGTTCCACTGACCTCTGTTTCGCCCTCGGCAGTGAGTACCGAGCGATCCAAAGCCTAGCGTCCCTCAACTCCGGAGGTCCTTCGTGGTACCACGTGCCCTCGCGGCCTCTGTCTCTTTCTATACGGGCCTCCTCCTCTTCCATTTTCTTGTGGATTGCATCTTCTCCCAGGCTGGAAGATAATAATAACAACAATTAATGTGTAAAAGTATAATTCAAGTTCCATAAATGGGGATGTTGCCTGGGTCAAAAAGCAAGAGTTTTAATTAGTCCGTCAGTTAACTTATCAAAATATACTCTACACGTATTTTTCACTTTTTCAAACTAATGAAAATTTAAAGAGATAAAGCGCCCCAAAGTTCATAAGAAGAGGCCCGTGACGTCAACGCTTGCTTAAAAATGCCGCACGTTGTGACGTCGTGCGCAACTTCAACGCACCATAACTATGTAATTATGTGTTAGATTGACAAATAAAAATATATATGTGTCCAATATTTTTTGATATTAAACATTACGGACTAAAAAAATTTTTTTAGGCAACTAGCCTATTATTAGGCTATTTCTGAAGGCCAATGAAAAAAATATGGTGTGGCTAGGTAGTACTCCGTTTGGAGGTATAATAGTAATAGTAATATTAGTTAATATCATGTCAAAGTTGTAGGATTACTCTAAGGCAATTTATACATGTTCGATGGTGTTCATACATTAATGGCCTCTAAAAGTACTAAAAAAGTGAAAAATTATTATGTATGGATATTAATGATCCCAAGTCATTATTAGGCAACGCCAGAACTTCATGATTTGGCCAACAATATCGCGAATGTGCTATGCTAGTAAAGTTGGGCCGTCTGGTGGATGGAGGAATTACTATTGTTGTACTTACTAACTAAGCAAGTCCCTCAAACGAACTCTCCTCTCTGCCGGACCCTCACCGAAGAGGCACACCGGCTCACCGAGCTGACGAAGACTTCTTCGTACCTGTAAAAACAAATTTAACATAAAACTAAGGCCGTTTACTGTCTTGTCGTAGCGGCAGTGGTACATCATCAACATACACGGACCACTCTTGTAGTCAAGAGTCAACAGCTTGAAGCTGCCAGTGATAACTGCTCGAGCAGTTGGTATTAACTGTCAAAGTCAAAGTCAAAATTTCTTTATTTGTTTGGACTAATAAATAGTTCTTGCAAATCGTCATTTTGCTCTTAAGGAGCCTCTACATGTCTCATAATCTTTTTACCCTACCAGTGCTTCGAGACCAACATTTGGCAAGTGCTGAGAAGAAGCGTCGCAACAAACTCAGTCACCACTGTCTGCCGGTTAATATAAATAAATAGAAATAGTAGTAGTAGGTACATTCGATTCAGGAGCAGTTCACTGAATTTACCATGCATTCTTGTATGGTGTATCTTATAAGAATGGGTATACAAGATTGCGTGGTTGGCTTTCTCACTCGCACACGCACTCGTTTCGTTGCGATCCTTATTAATTGGACACCATACATTACTAGCTTTACTCCTTTAGGTTACAAAAATATGTTTAAGAATCGTCAATGTACGACGTTGTCCTCAAATATGTCATAACGAAGCGGGAAACACGTTATTTTTTATGTCAACCAAACATCTACCTTATGTTGTTTGCTTAAGAGTGAATTCAGTTTAGCTTTAGAGCGTTGTGGAAACAATCGTGTTGAATAACGAAGAGATTCTAACGTTGTATGACGTTAAGAAAAAAACTAGTTTAGGCGTTTCTGGATAACGAGTGATCACTGGTCAGGCTGATCACTCGTTTAATAACCCGTGATAACGAATAACGCCCATTGCTAGCTTGAAGCTGTCGACCCTGACTGCTTCAAGCGGTCCTGGTATTGCCGGCCTTCTGCTAATATTTCTTGCGGTCGACTGCAAGGCAGTTCAGAAGAGTGAAATGAAACATTTTTCATTTTCAATTATTCTGTTCAGTTTATTTAACTCTCGTGGCCTACCAAAATAGTCTTCACGGTCGAACTCTTGGCCATCACTGCTTTACTGAGTCTGTGCCGTACCGCGCCAATCAGGAACGCTCCATTGAAATATAGGCGCTCGGAAAGCTTTCGGTACCGCGTATTCCGAGCGTGGTGCCGCGCCGACAAGTCAGAAAACGGCCTAAGGCATTTTCAATTAGGGTTTTTACACTTCACAGTAATTATGCCAGATACATAAATATATGAGCTGAGCCAGAAAGGAGTGAAGACTTGGCAATGACACCTGCAGCAGAGGAAGACCGCCTAAGATGGACAGATATTATCGGGTAAAATGCTGGAGTAACTGAATGCAAGTGGCCAGAAAAATCAGGCATGTACCTTGACTATCCGCACCACAGTGACCAAAAAACTGTCAAAGCATAGAAATTTAAAACAATCATAACTCGAAAACTATCAAAAATTGCAGCCCATACATAGGGGTGATTCTGGTAGCCCTACTGATGCTCTACCTCTGAGCTTCGGCTTAACACTACTTTTTGAAACACCCTGTATAGACATAAATAGGTTACAAAGTGCATGATTAACTAACCTCATCGTCGTCGGTGGACACATTCAGCTGCCGAGCTTTGCGTCTCCGCTCGAATTCTTCGAGCAGTGCTTTTTTATCACGAGACATCTCTTCTTCAAGCTCCATATATTCTATAAATAAATCAAAGTTGTATTTGTAAGTATACTTATTTAATCATATCCNGTAAGAACCATCCTTGGACTTCCACAAACATTTAAAAAAAAGAATTATCGAAATCGGTTCAGCCGTTCACACGTGATGCCGTGACAACGCGAAACGGGTTTCATTTTTATATATATAGATATTCGATTTTGTACCATAGAAGTTCAATACTTCTAAGTGCTATCATATTTTATACAATAGGTGACAAGATAGAGAAATACAGATCACAATGCGACCTTAACGGCACTGTAATGCAACGCGAAAGTTTAAAATCTTATGCAAGAGGAGCTGTTTGATTAAAAGCATTATTTACTGCTGAGCTGGTAACCAAAACTTCATTTAAAATAAGCAAAAACTTGAAGAATATACAACAAAACTAGTATTATCATGATAGTCAAGTGTTTACATGTTAGAATAAGTTATTTTACTTTAATATAAAAATTGATACAGGTCTGTAAAAGTTATAAAATAAACTTTTAATTCTTTTTCATACATACCATTTGAAATTTGTATGTCTCCAAGCTCTTTTCCGCCATTATCCTCGGTTCCTTCTCTGGCTGCAGCCGCCAGTGCCGCCAGCCGAGCCTTCTCCTGTTCCTCCAAGGATCCATAGTGGACTTGCTTGCTTTTCTTCACCAGAATCACATCCTCATCGTCAGACATTTTTAGGTTATGTTTATCAAGTCAGTCAAAATAAAAATAATTGAAGTGAAAATGAATTAAGATTTGTAGGATTACGGTATTTAGGGTACTGTCCTGACTTAAATAGTGGTGAAATTATTTTTAACGAATTAAAATCGGTAAACTATCGCGACGCGTAAACGTCAAACACAAACATGAAACGTTTCTGTTCATGTAATCAAATTTAGTGTCATATGTTTCTGCGTTGGCTTACTATTTATTCCTAAAATCTAATTTACTCTTAATAGTGATGAAATATATATAAAGTAACCTAAACATGATAAACAACGTTAAATTGTAAATTTTTAAGCAGAATTGAAGAATATAATAGGATTTGGAATAAACTGTGGCTTTGTAGAACGGAACGTAAAAATAAAATCATAGACAACAATGATGCCATTGTAAAATAATTACCCGTGAATCAGGGAACAAGAAAAACAATTTAGGAGCCATCACGTTTTGGAAGTAAATTTCTTCCAACAACCAACGTTTATTCACAGCAAAACGGATAAAAGGAGTGCTATTTTAGTTCCGTATTTAACAAATTAAAGCTAAGTTGATCTTCATAGGGCAACTTCAGATTAAAATGATAAAAATAAACAAAAAATATTGTGAATTATAGGGAGCGAAATGACTTGATGCTGGGTACCCCATTTGTCTATGGATATTGTTTACGTCAGTCATGTAGCAGCGAAATATTTTCAAATCGCAATTTCGCCTTATTTTCATCGTTAAAGCATGATTAGTTATATCAAACGTGTGTTTTTGTGCAATCAGTAGTTTATATTCACAAACTTGTGTGTGTAAAAGTGTTTTTGTAGAGAATTAAGAACATAACCTCTAAAAGTGTGTTGTCGTAGTTTTGTTTAGATTTAAAAGTGTATTTTAACAATGGCTTTGCAATTATCCCGCCGGGAGGTTGATGAAATACGTTCCTCTTTGGACAGAGCGATCTACAGGACGATAGGGAAGTCGGATAACTTGTTGCTGTCCACAGTTTCGTCATGTCTTACCAATGGGTAAGTATTTTATTGTTTTTCCAATTGGCTTGTACATTTTATGTCTTCTAAGTATATAAATAAGTTTTATGAGCTGCATGTTGAGAGAAATGCATAATTAATTGATGGAAACTGTGTATAATTTCAAACAAATCACAAATAATGTGTAGGTAACCCATGCTTATCTTATTTCTAAATTGAAATTGTAATTATATTTGTATGTGTTAAAAATGAATACCAGTAATCTAGATAGAAATGTTTCAAACCAAATGCATGTGTAAATTATTTATTTTCTTTATTTGAATTAACATAGCAGTTTAGTACAGATAGCATATAAAAATAAGTTTTACTTAATAAGCCTAAAAGATTTCACTGCTAATTTAATATTGAAAAGGCAGAACATTATACTTACAACTAAAAATTAAAAAGCGTTATATTATAACAAATATGTTTTGAATCAGTTTTTCAAAGTCAAAGTCAAAATTTCTTTATTTGTTTGGACTAATAAATAGTTCTTACAAATCGTCATTTTGCTCTTAATTTGTTTTTGTTTGTGTATGTAATATCACAGAATAATAATAAGTACTACGTACAGAAGTTTTACTTCACGAAGGTATTTAAAAAAATGTATGCTCAATGTCATTAACAATATGGTGTAATTTAGCCTGTCTCAAGAGTCAAGCACCATTTTGTTGACAAACGTCAGTGATCGGCACTGCGCCGAAGCTATAGGGCTGACTTCGGTAAAATGATGTGACGTGAGGTGCCAAACTGCGCAAAATGGCGGAGGAAATACATGATTTAGCATAAATTATCATGAATAATACTAACTACTTATTTACCTCTCAGTGTCTTGAGGCAACTTAAAAAAGTACATTCTGTGTTTTTATTATTATTTAGGCAGTTAAATACTGCACAGTATTTAGTACACCATTTTCTTTATTTTCTTCCATCATACACAAGAATACGCGTTCGTGAGTCAATGTTCGCTCGTATGTGAGGCCTTGTCGAATAGTATCCTGTAGGTGGGACATCGTGCGTGTTTTGTTTTCGATGTAAACTCGCGGAGATGAACAGGCCCGGTAATATTTAAAATTATTAACAAAAGTGTTAATTTTATTTAACTTTTTTACAGCTACGAGCGTCGCAAGATTATAGACAAGATATCCTCTCACATCGACTCGAAGAAAGCGAGCAAACTAGCCGACAAAGTGCTCGCACTCGCTCAAGAACTCGTCTCATCGTCAAAAAGTCACAAACGGAAACACGAACCGGAACGTGAGAAGGACTCGAAGAAATCCAGACACGATGACAAAGAGAAAGACCGTCACGATGATAGAGACAAGCATGAAGACAGAGACAAGGATAGGCATGAGGAGAAAGACAAGGAAAAAGATAAAAAAATAGGGAACGGTATTGAGACGTTACCGCTGCCAGCGGCTTTGCCGGAAGGAGAGACCGTTGGGTCTAAGATTGCTGTGTTAAGCGCTGACAGGATCAAGGTTAGTTTATCCTTTTGCTTATTAATTGTTGTTTAAACATTTCTAAACGCTATCTTCAATTTGATTTTGTTGAGACGGAAACGGGACTATTCCCACCTCTCGTTCCCACCACTGCAACTCCTGTGTAGCCAGGATCTACAGCTTGACCGCCACAAAAAACCCAACCAATGAAGGTCAGGTTAGTCCCGGGGGAAAGTTAAACTGTCATTGGACCCGCAACGAAATTAATCAGAAGAACATAGGAGCAGTTCGAAATTAAGGTTCGACTTCCCTCCATTGCAAAGGGGATGACAGGTAACAAACAAAGGTTTGAGACGGAAAAGAAAGAGTCCTTTGTCATTAAAATGCCATCAGGTGATCCATCTGCTCGTTTGCCTCCTGTCACATAAAAAAGAAAATATGCATCCGAACAAAACTCTGCATTCGCGCGGTTGACCGCGCTATAAAGTATTATTTTAACTTTGCACATCTTACGTAAGATCTATCGAGACTCCCTCCTTTCTTTTAAAAAAAAAAAAAGATATGGTCGACCCCCTTCCCCCTCTAAAACGTCTTACGTATAAGATTTTAAACTTTCGCGTTCCATTTCAACTAAAATAGTAAGACACGGGTCTTAACGCGACGTTTATTAATGAATTACATTACGGACGACCGCGAGCCGCGAGTCTGCTTGTGACCACGGCTGCAGCATCGCAGCTGAAACGTCAAGCCGTGAGTACATAATGTAACTCATTAATAAACGTCGCGTTAAGACCTGTGTCTTACTATTCGTCTTACGTAATAAATGAAAGGCTCCAATCCAGAGTTTGAAAGGATAATTATCACAATAACATCTTGATAATAACAGATGGATAGTTATCAGTTGATAATAACAAAAAAATCCGCTCTTAAAAGTGAACTGTATTCGAAGTTTTCAAACTCGTGTTGACTGTTGTGAACGTTATTTAACATAGATAGTTATAAAACCTATCTATTTAGCTCTATAACGATCACTCGTTAACTAGCGTCAAAATATTTATCTATTTTCCACAACGCTTCATGCGACTAGCGATGGATCACTTGACAACAATCAGTAACCAAAAACATAAAGCAACATTCTCAATGTAACACCAGAATTTCTTATGAAACAATATGACAAATGTATCTTACACTGTTGATAATTATCCGATAATTATCATGAAGCGTAATTGTCTTGATAATTTCGAACCCTGCTCCAATCTGAGCTATAAATAAAAAAAAATAAAAGAAAAACTCAATTAATAACCAATTACCTTCCAGCTAATGATGGCCAACGCTCAAAAAGAGATCGAGGAGCGTAAACGCGCGCTCGTCGCGCTTAAAGGCGAGAAACAGAACGTGACGACCGCGGCGCAGACCGCCCAGCAGATTAAGGTTCAGATGCAACAGCAGAACGCCATCCCACCGCCCAGCGTTATTAAACCTATGCTGTATTCTAAACCTGGTAAGAATATTCTTTCCTCCGTGGTTGAGGATTCCGGGTGAAGCTCGCTTCCACCTTCGGCCTGATCGTCACTTACCATCAGGTGAGATACAGGCCAAGAGCTTCCTCGTTGTGGATAAAAAAAATGTAATCATTATGAATAAGAAATGATTTATTTCCTCTACTTAAGCTCAGGGGGCTTTGTGTGAGTTTACATCACGTCTAGCGACTGCGTAAAAAATGGCATTAAAATGTTTGACGGATTGTACAGCGCGCAGCGCCCCTAACAGATACTTTCAAGAACTAAAATTTCATAGATTTATTTGACGCGCTCGCAAGTGACGACTTTTGATTTAAACTCACACTGTGCCCTCTGGTCATTTAGTCTATCTATAGTCCAACAAATGGGAAACTTACCTATGCTATCATACAGTCTGTGATCGTAAAGGTCATAGCAGACTTATCAACTCGGAAAGGGATCGCCTTTCGCGAGCTGTCAACTCAGGCGAGGCGTTTACGTTACGGTTATCCTCCCTTCATCATCATCATTTCAGCCACAGGACGTCCACTGCTGAACATAGGCCTCCCCCAATGATTTCCACATCGGTTGGTAGCGGCCTGCATCCAGCACCTGCTACCTTTATAAAGTCGTCGGTCCACCCCGTCCTCCCTTAGTGTAAATTACAGAGGGTCATGTCCCTGCAATGGGCACTAAATGACCTAATGGTGAAGCAAAGACTGTAACTATGGGAATATTTTTTCAGTGACTCCAATATCGGCTGAAGAGCTAGAAAAGCAGAGGAAGATAGCTGAACTGCAGGCCAGGATACAGAGGAAACTAGCTGGTATGTATCTGCACATACACTACAGTTTGACCTTACAAAACATACTTAAAACTAAAGTCAACATGTTGGTTGACCGCAGTTTAAAGTTGTTTATGTAAGAACAAGTGTACAATAAAGGGCCATGACTTTTAGTAAATAGTAAAACATTTAAGTTAAATAGTAAAGTTGAACAGTGTATTTAAATTACGTTTAGTATGGAAATGTCATTTTAAAACAGTGTTCAACAACTTTGTAAATTTTTATTAGGGAATGACTCGAAATCATTTCAAGTCGCGTTCTAGAGGGGTCGCGTCATAGGGGGTGGATTACTTTAGTAAAAAGAAATTACATAGAAAGCACGATGTTCTTTCGTGAAGCGCTTCATAGTGACTAAAA